TCAGTGCCAAATAAAAGGGAATAATAACTTTTCTAGATCTATTGGCAATGCCCTTCCTAATGCACCCGAATATGCTGTTACCTGATTGCCTTCTATGACAAGGTAACTGGCTGTATGGATATGGGGGAAGGCGGTGGACGTGATAAACCTTGACTTTAGCAAAGCTTTTGATACAGTCTCCCATAGTATTATTGTCAGCAATTTAAGGAGGTATGGATTGGATAAATGGACTGTAAGGTGGATAGAAAGCTGGGTAGATTGTCTGGTTCAACAGGTAGTGATCAACGGCTCAATGTCTGGTTGGCGGATGGTATCAAGCAAAGTGCTCCAAGGGTTGGGTCTAGGGCTGGTTTTGTTCAACATCTTTATTAATGACCTGGATGAGAGGATGGATTGCACCCTCAGCAAGTTCACGGATGGCACTAAGCGAGGGGGAGAGGTAGATACATTGGAGGGTAGGGATAGGGCCCACAGTGACCTAGACACATTGGAGGATTGGGCCAAAAGAAATTTGATGAGGTTCAACAAGGACAAGTGCAGAGTCCTGCATTTGGGACGGAAGAATCCCAAGCACTGCTACAGGCTGGGGACCGACTGGCTAAGCAGCAGTTCAGTAAGAAAAGACCTGTGGATTACAGTGGATGAGAAGCTGGATATGAACTTGAGCATGTGAATGAGACAAAGCAGATGGGCATCTTGAAAGAGGATTCTCAGTAGCACCAGTCAGTCCTGTCTAGTGTCTTGTCTCTAGCAACAGCCAATCTCTGATGCTTTGGAGGAAGCCAAAGAAACAAATAGAAATATTACAATGAATACATATAGCCAATTGTGCATCATTAGGAAAAAAACTCCATTTAGGCAAGCATCATCTAATTTCCCCAAGGTGAATCTTTAATGAGCTCAGAGAATCAGGGCCTTTATTCTTACTATTCAAGTAAAAAAAGTGGTACCATGCCCTGCAGCTGATGTATATAGGTCTCATTCCATTGACCTGAATGAAGCAAGGCCATTTTATACTAGCTGTCTCACAATGTACAGATATTTGCAGAAGCAGATCAAAAATATTTTTCAAAAAACCCCCTAATATCCCAGAGTCCACAGCCTCTTGACTGAAACCGAGAAGGAACCTACAAAGACTTTAGGTATTAAAGAAAGTAATTAAGGCCTGAAGAGGCCAAAGAATCAGAAATCTAATACTGGATGCAGCTGAAGAGGAGAGAGGATCTTTCTTCTCCTCTAACCCAAAATGTATGTAGATGTGTTTTCTAAAGAGTCTCCCCCTTCCATGTATTGGCAGAGAAGTAAAATTCCTTCTCAGTCTTACCAAGCAGGTTGCTAGGTGGACAACTCATGACTCTAGGTTTAATTACATTGTGCTACTAAGGGGAAAGTAACTACTTCGGCATGACAGGTGAAGATCCAGTTAGTACTGCTGTGCCTTTTTAGAAGCTTGTGTACCAGATACAGTATATTTTTATGGTTTAGGATGGAATTTTTTTGAAGAACGATAGCCACCATAATTACACATCAAAACGACTTACAAATATGCCATTTTAATTAAATGTCTATTTATAAGCATGATTTCAAAGCTACACCTATTTCTTTTAGTTTAAAAAATAAAATTATTTCTGCAGGAATTCTTTTAAGCCCAAAAAGCAAGAGAAACAGAAAATAAGCAGCATCCATAACAACTATAAGTAAACTAGAAAGTACTCCAGCCAATCAGAAGAGACTCACTGATTATATCTACAGTATACTTTTCTCCCCAGGCTGGGCTGAAATTTGTGAAGAAGCTGGAACTACTCATCATTGTCAAAGAAGCTGCAGTCCCTGCCCAATGTTATTCACAAACTGATCAAGACAGTGGCAGCACTGGTATTGTGAGGGAGCTGAAATGCAATTCCCAAAAACGAGAGTGTCTTGGTGAGTTCTAGGCCACAGCGCTGAAACCTCACAAATGTAGTCAAAATAACTCAATTTTAATGTCACTGGAATCAGTCTGTTGACACTACAAGAAGTCCCAGTCTTCTTCCTCTTTACTGCTTTGCCCAGAGGAAACCCTCATCTAACTGACCCTCCCTGCCTCCTAGGGAAGACTACTGGTAGCCAACCAGAGTAACCGCATGCAACCCTCTCACATCCCCTCAGGAGTAGAGAGGAGTTTTGGGATATAGGAAGAGGGAAGAAAGAACAGCTGATACCATTTTCACAAAAGGGTTGGGGACAATTCTTATTATTTATGGATAGCAGATAGTGATGGTGAACTTTATTTTTCCTAGAGGCCACAATTTGGTATATCCAGAGCCGAACAGAACTTTCCCTGGAATTGCTCCTGCCAGGCCAGCAGCTGGAGTCCATTTTGACAAAGACGACAAGAACTGTTGAGACTGGTCCTGCTTTGGGCAGGGAGCTGGACTTATGATGTCCTGAGGTTTCTCCCAGCCCTATGATTCTATGAAATGTTAGAAAGTGCTTCCTAGTGCTTCTTAGGATGGAGGTGGTAAAGTTTTCCCATTTTGGAAAAACAAGAATTCAAGTGCACTTTGCATAATCTATCCAGTAACTGTTTCAGGATAGTTAATGGCAGTGAGGGAAGAAGAGATAAAACAGTAGACTCTGTTGCATGGAAGCTGAAGCCCTGAGTTTGAGATAGGGAGCGAGATATTATACTTTTCACGTTTATGTTGCTTTTAGGGATCTCTCTTTGACCTTGTAACCAGGAAGTCACTTTTGTCATGTTAGCTGGTCAAAGTCTGACCAAAGGGTATTTAATTTGCAGTCTACTCTGAAGTACGAGCTCTCCAATAGCTGGCTAACTGCCTCCTTTCCCTTGCAAGTATTCTTTTAACCTCTGACCAAGCTCTCCCTGAGTATCTGGTCTCTTTAGAAAGGCATTAGAATAAACTGCACTACAACTGATCCATGTGAACATGTATTAATTGTCTCCTAGGAGTTCAAGAACAGAATCAGGATTCGTACACCCACAGATATCATTCAGTGCAGCAACCTTCCCAGTGATCTGTTACAAACACTCTACAATACAGGGTCTAAAGCACAAGCCCTAATGAGTTAGAAAATAACTTAGTACTGCCATATGCCATTCTGTGGTGTCACTATATGCTAAATAAGGGACACGTTTCCCTTCTATCCTTCATTAGTAGTTTAAAGCTAGGAGGTAGGAAAAGGCTGATCCATATTCGGGGGGGGGGGGGACAATAAAAAATTGGTATCTCTTTGGGACAATAACAAATTGGTATCTCTTTTGAGAATTGCCCCACAGGCCAAGCATTTTTATGTTCTTAATCATTATTAAATGACTTAACATGACACACAGAGCCTGGAAAATGATTGCATCCTGACATGAGAACGAATTACAAATGAAATGAAAGATCAAGCTGTATTAGAGGACTGCCTCTGGGAAATGAAAATCTTTAATTCTCTTTTATTATTGACATTTATTTGGCTGCCATGAATAACAACATAGCAATGAGATTCAGCTATGCTTGTGCACCGAATAGCTTATCCAAGGGCTCAAAACTGCCTTAACATTTATCATGTTTGCTTTTGTAGCTGACACCACTGCAGACCCTCTCTATCCATCTTGCATTTATCATGCATATAAAGTGCATTATCTAATTTAAGTTCATTTTCATAGGGAACAAACAGCTAAGATTAGCAAGTGTCAGTTCTCCAATAAGCTCCCACTTGTAAAAATATCAAAGAATGGATTAATGGATTTGTTAACAAGTCCAGTTTAAAGAATAAAATAAATGCACAGTGAAAATTAAATAAGAGCACCAGAGGGTTACGTGTAAGATTTAGATTTACCACCATAGATTTACTAACGCATATATAACAATGTTTTTACTGCTGTTTTTCAGCCCACCATGCAAGGTTCAAGTGGAGCATCTCCATATGGGCTATTCAAATACTGCAGTTATTTTCTGGAAGCAAAGCTAACATACGTGCAAGGCAAGAGAGACATATCCAAATCGGACCCGGTGGCGTTTGAAAACAGTTTGTGGCAAACAAATTCTGGGAAGAAATAATCTAAAAAACAAAAATAATTGAGAATTCCCCTAAGCACAAATTATAAGGCTGGGACATATCTACTTGGAGCCCAATCCTGCAATCTTACCCCCAAGCAATTTCTGATTCAAACGGCAATTTTGCACAAGGAAAGATCCCTAATAGTCCAAACCTGCAAGCTGCTAAACACATTAAACTCTCATATTGAATTCCAAAGATGGTATTCAGCTCCTCAAACGAGGCACTCAGGACCTAAAAGAACTAGACCCATAATTAGTACTTTACCCTGGGCAGGAATTAATGACTAAAATAGCAACAGTTCATGGCAGTAATTGTATTATTTAGAGTAAAAAGTATAGGTGGACAAATTCAAGAGCCTGTTAAAAGGCAGGTAGTCATGTTTGTAAATCTGTGTGTCATGGTATCAGTATTTCAAAAAGCAGACACCACTTGTATGCCATCTAGAACACCTTTTTTCCACCTATCCCTTTGAGAATAGAAGAGCAAACAGCTGAAAAAAGCTAGAAGTGAGACTTTCCACTAAAAGCAAAAAGACTGGAAATACACTTAGTGCTGGATTTCCCTTCCTCATTTTCACAAATGCTTAAATGTACTATACTGTTGCAGCAGCTGTTTCCAACAAGTGTATTGTGTTCTTGTTTATAGCAAAGATAGCTTTGCAGATACAATCTGAAGTCATAAAAAGCACCAACTGGAGCTGTGTTTTAGAGCTACGTTATAAAAATAACGTAAGATACCCATAACTAAGTTGTCAGACAGTCCTGTGAAATGTTAACTTCTGATGTTTAGGACATTTAGGGGGTTAAAATATGAGAAACATTTGTTAAGATAAAATCAGGGAAAGACAAGTACTTTGAATACAAATTGAAAGTTATAATTTGTAAATCTAATACATGATTTTCCATGTATGTATTCTGCAGTATAATAATACGAATTTTAAAAAAATGTACCTGTAGCCATTATAGTGTCATCTTTCCCTTGAGTGAAGACTACAATTCGTTGCCTTTTAGGGTTCACCTTTGGCAGGGCTTGTGCCTTCTGGGCTATCTCTTTAATATCTTCAGTCTATTAATAACAAGAGAAAAAATTATTTGTAGCCAGCATAGCAGAGCAGTAAAAGATTAGGACTTTATTAGCAGATCAAAGATTTATCCTCTTACAACTAGATAATAAAATAGACTTTATTGTTTATTGAGAAAGATGTATAAGAGGAAGAATACTTTAGTCTCTTAAAGGTTTATGTATGTAGTGCTAGCACATTTACCTGGTGTTGCTCGGGCTTTAACTCTTTTTTTTTTTAAATAAAACAAAAATGTACATGATTTAGTCAGAGATGAGGACTAAGGAGGGGCTCTGGGCAGGGAGAGAGTGAGAGAGAGTGTATTTGTAGAGGGGGTGGATGGGGAGGGCCTGGGGAAGCCCCTCCCCCGATATTCATACCAGGGCTGCTTGCTCTTCCCCTTTCTGTCCCTGTCAAGGCGCGAGAGCGAAATGCACAGCTTGTCTATTCCCTGCATTTCCCGGTCAATGTGAGGTATGAAGCAAACTGTATTCTTACTCCTCGCTCCCTGGCAAAGGGCAAAGTCAGCAATGTCCCCATAAGAATTGAGGAAGGAGGGAAGAGGAAGCTCCAGCCCTCCCCCAAAGGGGTGCTGCACCTCTCTCTGATAGTGGCCAGGATAAAATGCTTCATTCAGATGCAAGAAATTCAGTAACTGAAAATTATGAAATGCCCTGCCTTTAGGAGATGATCCTTCCTAATCCCATCTGTTGCCAGTTGCTCAAAGCAAAAGACTTTTATTAATGTTTGAGTCTGTATGTGTGTGTTCTTTATATGTTGTTAGCAGGTTTTATGTCGCTCTGGCGTCTTGTATTTTAAATTTTTATATATATTTGTATTGTGTTTAAACATTTTTTTGTAAGCCGCCTCAAATATTTTAAATAGAGAGGCGGGATAAAAATATTTAAATAAATAAATAAGACTTTCTATTCCTATTTCTTTTAAATCTTATCTAATGGAAATGTAGATGTTCTCATTATCCATATAAATGTCTGCTTTTTAAAATGCTACAATACTGAACTTTTGGTCTCAAAGACATCTTATGTCAATGAATCCCACAAGTTACAATGTTAAAAGCATTTCCGTTGATCAGTTACATAATATATTGCCTTTCAATTTCACAAAATGCCCCTTTATATCTAAATTATGAGAGAGTCAATAACAAAATGAACACGCTCTCTCTATGCTATTCATTATGTCCCTTCTTATTTATATGTCTAGGTGTGTAAGGATTACATTTCTATGAGCAAATGTCAATTTCACCATACTCATAAAAACAATGAAAAGATATTGCCATTAGTAACAGAAATGTACTGGTAGTCAAAGTAAGAAAAACGATGCTTGAGTATTTGTTAGAGTTTGATTTAAGGACATATTCTATAATCTACTATATGGCTATGTCTACATTGCAGGCTTCTTGCACAAGAACTGTTTTGTGCAAGAGTTTCTGTGGAAAAGGTCTTGTGCAAGAGCGCGTCCACACCGCCATGTGCTTTTGTGCAAGAGCGCATCCACACTGACATGTGCTTTTGTGCAAGAGCGCATCCACACTGACATGTGCTTTTGCACAAGAAATGTGCTTTTGTGCAAGAGCAACCATGGCAGTGTGGACGCTCTCTTGCGCAAGAAAGCTCTGATTGTCATTTTAACCATAGGGGCTTCTTGCACAAGAAATTCATGTTGCCTGTCTACACTGCCCTGCTTACTGTAAATTTACTTGCACTAGAACACGCGTGCAGCGTAGACGTGTTATTTAGTCCTTCATGCAGTAAGGAACCAGGGACCACCCAAAAAATGAATAGGCAACAGGTTTAAAAACAAAACAAAAGGAGTATCTTCACACAATGCACAGTCAACCCATGGAACTCATTACCAGAGGATGTCATGAAGAGAAAAACTATAATGGGATTCAAAAAAGAATTGAAGTAAATCTATCAATGGCTATTAACCAAGATGGTCAAGGATGTTCTTGGCGCCCTTGCCTCTGACTGCCAGAAACTGGAAGTGGACCAGAGGGAATAGATCACATAGGGTATGTCTACACCACAGTGTTATTTCAAAATAGCTTATTTCAAAATAACACGTCTACACACAAAATGCATTTTGAAATAGCGCATCCACACTGAGTGGACTCTGAATCTCATTTAAGGCTGGCCGGAACCAGGTCTGGCAGGGCACCAGGTCAGGACTTACTGTATGGGGCTCCTGCCTGAGGCTATCTGAGGTCTGTGCTTAAAGGGACCCCCCCGGACAGCCAGTTCTCAGGTTTCCCTGCCTGCTTGTCTACCTTGATGAGGGACAGCAAAGCATTTTGTCTCTGAAAGCATTTCCGTTGATCAGTTACATAATATATTGCCTTTCAATTTCACAAAATGCCCCTTTATATCTAAATTATGAGAGAGTCAATAACAAAATGAACACGCTCTCTCTATGCTATTCATTATGTCCCTTCTTATTTATATGTCTAGGTGTGTAAGGATTACATTTCTATGAGCAAATGTCAATTTCACCATACTCATAAAAACAATGAAAAGATATTGCCATTAGTAACAGAAATGTACTGGTAGTCAAAGTAAGAAAAACGATGCTTGAGTATTTGTTAGAGTTTGATTTAAGGACATATTCTATAATCTACTATATGGCTATGTCTACATTGCAGGCTTCTTGCACAAGAACTGTTTTGTGCAAGAGTTTCTGTGGAAAAGGTCTTGTGCAAGAGCGCGTCCACACTGCCATGTACTTTTGTGCAAGAGCTGTGCTTTTGTGCAAGAGTGTCCATGGCAGTGTGGATGCGCTTTTGCGCAAGAAAGCTCTAATGGCCATTTTAGCCATATAGGTTTCTTGCACAAGAAACCCCTGTTGCCTGTCCACACTGCCTTCTTGTGCAAGAGTTCTTGTGTAAGAGGGCTTATTCCTAGTGGGGAGAGGAATAACTCTTGTGCAAGAAGCCCTCTGTTCTTATGCTTACTGTAAATTTACTTGCACTAGAACACGTGTGCAGTGTAGACGTGTTATTTAGTCCTTCATGCAGTAAGGAACCAGGGACCACCCAAAAAATGAATAGGCAACAGGTTTAAAAACAAAACAAAAAGAGTATCTTCACACAATGCACAGTCAACCCATGGAACTCATTACCAGAGGATGTCATGAAGAGAAAAACTATAATGGGATTCAAAAAAGAATTGAAGTAAATCTATCAATGGCTATTAACCAAGATGGTCAAGGATGTTCTTGGCGCCCTTGCCTCTGACTGCCAGAAACTGGAAGTGGACCAGAGGGAATAGATCACATAGGGTATGTCTACACCACAGTGTTATTTCAAAATAGCTTATTTCAAAATAACACGTCTACACACAAAATGCATTTTGAAATAGCGCATCCACACTGAGTGGACTCTGAATCTCATTTAAGGCTGGCCGGAACCAGGTCTGGCAGGGCACCAGGTCAGGACTTACTGTATGGGGCTCCTGCCTGAGGCTATCTGAGGTCTGTGCTTAAAGGGACCCCCCCGGACAGCCAGTTCTCAGGTTTCCCTGCCTGCTTGTCTACCTTGATGAGGGACAGCTTATAGTGGTTCTTATGTATTTTCTATATTTTGACATGTAACGTTGACAATATGTGTTTTAACATTTATAAAGCTTTCAGTTTTTGAATATCAACATATACTATCTGACGATCCTCCCCAAATAATTTTCAGCAGCATTAAAATTGATAAAAATAAAACAATGCTTAAACATAATCAATATTAGTCATTGAAATTATAAAAAAAAAATACATTCTGCCAAAGCCTATATATATCCTCTCTAAACTAAACAGTTAGGCTATGTCTACACTGGCACGATCTACTTCCTAACCCCCCCTTCCTGATATCAAATAAAATACATGCATTTTCATGAACACAAACTCTTTTTATTTAACAAAACTGGGGGGGGGGGGGGAAGGAG